GACACCACCGAGCCACCATCAACGAGCGGCAACAGCGAGAGGCAACAGGGAGAGGCCTCCGCAGCGAGAGGCAACAGGGAGAGGCCTCCGAGAGAGCGGCAACAGAGAGCGGCATCCACAGCGAGAGGCAACAGAGAGCGGCATCCGCAAGCTGCCTCTGCTGGACCCTCCGCGAGAGAGGTTAGTCAGCTTGACGTCGCTACAGTGTCACCATGTCCCACGCGCGTCAGTTCTTCCTCGTGTTGGTGCTGCTAGAGGTGTTGCTGTCACCTGGATCGTCCCAAAGCTGCGTCTCCAGAGCCCTCGGTCGAAGATTCCCAAGCGGAGCAAGATGGACGGAGCCAGGGTGCACGCAGATGTCCTGTCGGAGAGGGCTGGTGCAGGGTAGGGGGTGTGCTATCGCCTCCTATCCACCAGGATCAGGATGTGTGAAAGTGCAGGGAGAGCCCGACGCTGAGTATCCCGATTGCTGTGATCGAGTGAAATGCCCGCGTCCCGATCAGTGCTTCTCGATTCGACTCAACAAAACCTTTGATGATGGTGAAGAATGGACTGAGAGACCGTGTGCGCTGTATACGTGCAAGCGAGGGACCAGTGAGGGCCAAGGGTGCCCCATGTACCACGTCCGCCCCGGGTGTAAGACAGAGAAAGGTACACCGGGGACCGCCTACCCACAGTGCTGCGATAAACAGTCCTGCCCAGCGCCTGACCAGTGCTACTCGCAACGTCTCGACAAGGTTTTCGATAATGGGGAAGAATGGACTGAACCTCCCTGCCAGCTGTACAAATGCAACAACGGATATGCAGAGGGAATCCAGTGTCCCATCTACCAATACAGCCGCTGTGTGAGAAAAGAGGGAACTCCTGGAGCGAAATACCCCAACTGCTGTGCTACCATCTCCTGTCCCAAACCCGATCAATGTTACTCAGATCGCCTCAAGAAGATATTCAACAACAACCAAACATGGACTGAGCCATCGTGTGGAAGATTCCGCTGTCATAATGGACGGACCGAGGTCACCAGTTGTCCTGACCTCACCATAGGTCGGGGGTGCGTCAAACTGGACGGCTCTCCCGACGCACCCTATCCCGCCTGCTGCCCGACCGTATCCTGTCCTCGGACAGACCAGTGTCACTCAGACCGTCTCGGTAAGACCTTCGACTCGGGTCAGACCTGGACCGAACCTCCGTGTGTGGGTTTCACGTGCGCTAACGGTACCTCCAACCAACGAGACTGCCCTGCCGTGAGGGTCACTCCAGGATGTGTGAAAGAATCCGGTACCACAGGAGCTCAATTTCCATCTTGCTGTCCTAAGGTAACCTGCCGTTCCGCTGGTCAGTGCTACTCTGCATCTCTCCGGAAAACGTTCAACGACGGAGACACCTGGACTGAACATCCTTGCGCGTCCTACACGTGTAACAATGGCACCACCAAGTTGAAAACCTGCCCCGTCGCCGTACGCTGGGACGGGTGTGAGCTTGTCAAAGGAAAGACCAACGCGTCGTTCCCCGAATGTTGCGACAAACAGAAATGTCCCGACGGTAGCCAGTGCTTCTCGAGAGCTCTGCGTAAAACGTTCGACGACGGCGAAAAGTGGACGGAGCCACCGTGTCAGGAGAAGGCCTGCAGCGGCGGCTTCATCAACACCAAGGAGTGTCCCTGGAGCGCAGGGTTCGGATGCAAGAGGGAGCCGGGTACGCCGGGCGCTAAATATCCAAAGTGTTGTGACCAGTTTAAGTGCGACGACTTCGCCTCGCTCGATATCTAAGCGAGTGTTCAGTGGTGTTCTTTTATTAAAGCTAATACAGACAAGAGACAATAATGCTGAAAATTTTCCAGGATATTTTCAAGAAAGGTACAGTAAGCTAGACATTGGCGATAAATATGTAATTGTGAAAAGCATATCGCATCGCTGACCAAAAGCTTTTTTAATTGATAATCGTTTCGCCCTTTCAAACAGTGTAAGGGTTCATTACTTCATTTAGTTCGCTATGCAACGGTCGTGATGCCGCAATAGCGAAAGAACAATAGCAACAAAGTGTTTATTATCACACAACATCAATCGGAATACAGCCAATATCCGTATATCCACACTTACATAATATGGACCAGTCATCGTGCATGTAAGAAGAAATCCCCAGTGTAGGTACTAAAGAAATGTGTTAAATTCCGCTGTGTGCTCAGAAACTGTACATTATTACGGAGCGAGCGAAGCGAGCGTAGTCTTTCCTTAGATTAACGGAAATTTCTGAGTATGAGCGGCCGGCCGGCCGGCCGGCCGGCCGTGGTCACGGTTTTGCGACGCTTATATCTCAGCAACCACTTGACCGATTTACACGCGGTAATTTTTGTAGGGTAGCTTCATTCCTTCTACCAAGTATTGGACTATTCCCGATGCATGTAGGTGACCCCTTATGCACGTGCCACGTGCAAAACGAAGAGGTGTCACTTTTGTAATTGTTGCAATATCTCGGTAACTACTTGGCCGATTGCGCTGAAAGTTGGCATGTAGGTAGGCACCCACTAGGCAATGCATATCCATGTGCCAGAGTTGGGGTGCTGCTGCACGTGCGCACGTGCAGGGGTCGATTCCAGATCTCGAGAACGGCTGGACCGATTGCGCTCAAATTTGGTACGCGGTTACGGAGCAGTTAGTAGGGTGCCGTGCACAAGTCAGTTGGGACCCAATTTGCACGTGCGCACGTGCAGGTTGCCGCTTCCAGATCTCGAGAACGGCTGGGCCGATTGTGCTCAAATTCGGCACATCGCTAGAGACCGGTTAGTAGGGTGCCGTGCACAAGTCAGTTGGAGGTACCCCCTCGCAATTTCGCACGTGCAAGGCCCACCCTCTCGCTCGCTCCGTTAGTCGCCCCATAAGGTGCTATACTGGTAGTTATCTGTTGATGAATTGCGTCTGCATCACAAATTACAGATTACAGATTACAGATATATTCAGACAAGGTCCTCTCAATAGTGAGGCTTTTCACATGTCCACGTCATGATAGTGTGATACAAAACGAGGAACAGTTTCACATATTTCTGGATGTTTCTAAAATCCAGAAAACAGAACTGACATGGTTAAGCATACAAAGGTTTCTAATTATCCAAGCGCTGAACAGTTAGATACAATCTGACACCCTAAATGGCCCTAGCCCCACGTCTGATGCAGTTCGGCACTCCGGAAACATTTTAAACTGCGCCTCTGCGGCATTTACCATTAATGACCACGGTCACTTGTAAGTAACCGGTAAAGCGAGCCAAATGTCACTCTAAACGTGGTTTGGGTCTCATAAAAGCCCATTATGGATACAAACTCGGTGCAGACTGCCACTTTCATAAATCATCAGAGCCTTTCTCTTGACCTTGACTCGGCTCTATGATATGAGTATTTCATGTTTTAAATACCCAACATGAGCTAATGATGAGTCAAACTACACAACTGCATCAAAAGAATGCATTTATGCATATCCACTCCACAGTGCAACATAAACAAATAAAACTCGCAATATGTGACTGTGTGTTTCATCTAGAATATTTATGTAATGCTAGATATGGTAATGAATACCATCGGGAGCTGAAAACTCTCCCATTTAGATGCAAATTATCCGCCAAAAGTAGGCATCAGTCAGCCGAGCCAAATGCAAAAAAAAAATATTTAGTCCGCCAATTTCAAACTATATTGGGAACTATTTCCCCATTTCTTTTTTACTCGGATGCGAGTTCAGCTAAAAAGGAAAAGCCAGTAAGAAATTGAAAAACGGGCGCCGCGGGACGCAGGGCGACGCGTGCTGTAAGTGCGGTTCACTCAGTTTGAGTAAACGTCAGTCGACACTCCACTCCACCCCAATGCACGTATAAGCACTATGTGATTACGTATGCAATATGCATGCACTAACGTAAAAGTCCGTCAGCTGCACCCCAAAAATGACTGTATAGCCATTTCATTTCGGACACCTTATCACCGCATGTGCGGAAACTGCTGTTTAATGACCACTCAGACTCAGTCCTGCTTTACATCCAGCGTTCCCAAAATGCTGTCATGACGGTACGTGGTAGGACCGCAGGCACCACGCCCTGATGGCTTTCCGTAGTGCGCGCTCCTCAGTTCGCAGGACCATGTCTTGAATCCTCGCTGGGAAATCACTTACATAAGACAAGACAAAGTATAACCCATTATTTGTTCCACTTTGATATGTGGCCATTTTAGAGCCATTCCTTGCTAGGGTAATCCTAGCAAGGAATGGCAAATCCCTACAAACAGCTTCCTAACACCGTTAAGTGGGGTATTTGATGTCATTGCATAACTGCTTCAAATAGCCCCACTTACAGTATTTATAAGTTTAGTAAAATCGCTGGAAAATGAAAACCGCTTGATATTTTTTTGGTCATTTTTGCTCAAGGTGATGGGAAATCGAGCGATGAATGACATGGATAACGTTTTTGAAAATTTTGAGAAGTTTTGAAATAATTTTGACATTAAATCAGAAATACAGAAAAACGCACAAATTAAGTTGCACGGAAAGTACCCCTATCGGCAGCTTAAAATGGATGAAGTTTTAAAAACTTCGCCACTGAATCTATCGTAACTATCGTCATACCTATAGGCTAAGCACATTTTTTCATGAAGACATTTTATATTGTTAACGGTAGTGCCGATTGTGTAACCTATTGTCTCAGAATCCCGATGATGCCCATTGCCCACCTTGTCAAACCTCAACGTATGTATGCCAAATACAGTTGATGATTGTGATAGCAAGGCCCCAAAAACAGCTGATACGATGCACCTGAGAAGACTTACCGCAATCTACCTAAAGTGCATCAAACGTTCAACATAAGTTACACCGGTGATTCGGCCGTGGTCACCAAATGTGCAGTGGGTTCATGGTACTTTTAGCAGCAAGCAATATTTACATATCGTAACTTTATGACATTCCACCTTTTGACAAAATTAGTTACCCTTATGATACGTGCATTAAATGTTTTTTTTTCAAACCGTCTCCTAGGGACACTCTGGTCTCGGGCAGTTCCCCAGCTGACAGAGTGGATACATATTATCCCCACACGGCCGGTCATTCCACTCATCATACGCTATCATCCCGACGCAGTGCTCAGCACCCAGCCAGTTATCTGGTTCATCAGGCCGCCAGCGTACACCCGTAGAGGGGTACGTACCGCACCCATCCGCCGCCACAAACTCCCCTTCTACCTCCCTATCGGAGTAACCCAGCCAGGCCCACTGCCCGGAGCGGAGAGTAAACGCGCACTGGTTCTCCTCGTCCGTGTGAGGGGCGAAGAGATGGGCGTTGATCTCTGAGCAAAGCCTCTCGGCGGTGGAGTAGTTTGCAGTCTGGTTCAGTCGGGTTAGGCAGCGGCCGGCACAGCGGCTGAATCCAACCGGACAGGCACATCGGTAGGTAGGAATACCTGCGGAGAAAGAGCCAGAGAAAACGGGTGTTTGAAATACAAACGGGAGCGCGCGCGCGCGCGCGCGAGAGAGAGAGAGAGAGAGAGAGAGAGAGAGAGAGAGAGAGAGAGGAGAGAGAGAGAGAGAGAAGAGAGAGAGAGAGAGAGAAGAGAGAAGAGAGAAGAGAGAAGAGAGAAGAGAGAAGAGAGAGAGAGAGAGAGAGAGAGAGAGAGAGAGAGAGAGAGAGAGAGAGAGAGAGAGAGAGAGAGAGAGAGAGAGAGAGAGAGAGAGAGAGAGAGAGAGAGAGAGAGAGAGAGACGGTTGGCAGGCTTGAAATACTTACAAAGGTGACTTCGAAATGCTGAATGTCATAAATTTGTGAAATTGATGTTGAAACAGCTATTGAAAATTAATTGTTTCTTACCATAGTTAGATATACCGAGCATTATGCAATAAACGGAATACAGTACACACAAAGACAGACCTCATATCCCTGGAAATTGGACCCGGGTAACCACCGGTGTCTCGTACTATTGGTCTCAAGACAAGGGCCCAGGCGACCTAGAGTTTTGATGCTGTGAATACCCTAACCCTCGCCACAGCTCAGGCCGAGTGACCCCTCACACCCCAACCAACCCCACCCCCACTCGTGTTGTGGCGAGGGTCAGGGTATTCACCGCATCCGAACTACAGGTCGGCAGGGCCCTCATCATGAGACCAGTCCAATAGTACAGACTTTGCCACAGATCTTCGGCCCAGGACAGTCGCACTGCTCACACTATTCAGGGGTTCGCGGTAGTCTAACAAAATATTCAGTTACACGAAATTGCTGCAGTTCCTTTGAAGGTGGATAATATAACGTTCAACTAAATAATTAGGTAGCGGTCCATTCAACTTTAAGGTGAGTGCATTCCAGAAGCCTTTGGCCTTTTCCCAAACTGGTATTGGATGCAGTTTTAATTGGAGCTGGTGAGTCAGGATTTTCTAGTATTTCTACAAATACCATTGCCGCTTCAGCAGTGGAATCAAAATGCTGAGGTGAATAGATCTTATCAACAAAGCAATTACGGCAATGTTCAAGTTCAAATTCTCCGCGAATGTTCTGAAACGTGAAGTCAACAGTGGACCGCGACAAACATGCAGGGAAAAATATGTCCATTCAAAGCTCATAGGTACCTACAATTGAGTCGATTTTCCTTCTGTGCTCAATTTTAACCCTCGCCCGTATTGGTGTTGTCCAGCCGCGAACGTGGGAACGTATCCTTTGGATCCCCCTTGCCGTTTCGCCCCTGATCAAGTTTGGGCTTCGCGGAAAAAGGACCGTGTTCAGTGTTGCGCTTGACGAGAAGAAGCCGTTGATACCCAATTTTAACGACCTACGTCAATGGTTGACCTTCCAGGTCAGGTCAATGAACCAAAAGTCGGGAAAATCGGGACCTATTAGAACAACGTAAAGTGGGGCTGCTATGTTTTTTTTTTTGGTGCTGATCACGAATATCATGTTAGTTTTGATCACAGATGATGTCTTCATGCCTTTAGGCCAGGTCGGGTCCGGTCAGGTCAAGTCAACCATTAGGGTCCTGCCGGGTATTCATAGAAGGTACGTGTCAACCGCCTCTCAGACAGCCTCGTAATATACTAAGAAGGCAACAAGACTAATTCGTAAATGTTCGAATGGCTGCTAAATTCGAATTCAGCTCCAAATACTAGCCTAAAAACATGTAAAACTCGACAAAGTGAACAGAGGTCATTAAAGGTCCATGACCTGACCTGACCTTCAGATGACCTTGACACCCACCCTAATGCATGGGACCAACATCATTTCACATGTTTGAACGCTTGAAACCACGAAAAGACTGGAAACGCGCGGCTAATGCGAGCCGACAAACGCCGAATCTCGATTCCGGCCAAATATGGTCTCGAAAAGTAGGTCACAGGTCAAAGGTCATTTGGTTCAGGGTCATTAAATTTTGAGGGTAGGTGTAAAATGGATCAACGCGAGGGTACCAAAAGTGTCGCTGCAATCGGCCGCTTAATACGCGATTTATTTGCGAAAAACCGAGGGGGGTTCCCTTCGACCCCCCCCCCCCCTATACGGGCGAGGCGAGGCCCGGGGTTAATGCCTAGAGGCACAGAATCCCTAGTGGCAAAGACTAATGGCATCATCTAAAAAGCAAACACAAGGATTGTCGGGGAACTGGCATAGATTCATCAACTTGCGGCAGTCTATGCCCATCTCAATCATAAGGCACAGCGTGGAAAACTGCGGGAATGGAAATGGGAAACTCAGCCCTTCCCCCGATCATCTCCTATAAAACCCATCAAGAAACATACATGGTCTGTGCTAGGAACGAACAATGACTTGCCTCCCTGCAAGCCTCCTAACGCTAAATTCACATTCAGGGCCTTGGCTTGAAGATGTTCACAACGGCAACATTTCAAAATCATCCACGCAAATGCCCATCCACAGCCGCTAATTATAGCTTAGGGAGCTATTGCTCCTTATACATAACTGTACCCAGAAAAGTATATTCAATACCGGTCTTTCCAGTTTCCACTGTTAATTCACCTGGGCAAGTTGACAGCCTGTAGCTACGAGGGTCCGCCGTTGCATCCAGCTGAGGTCTTGCGTGGTTGGTACACTCCAAATAGAGGCGACACGTCCCATCCTCCAGGTAAGTAAACCCCTCACAATATGGCCGCCTCAGGCTGGTGCACTCAGCTGAGCAGGCTGACAGAGAGGGAGCGACGAGAGTGATGTTTGGGTGGCTTGTAAACGTGCCGGCCTGTCTGATGGACCAGGTCTTGGTGACCGAGGCGGCGATGTTTGAGCAGAGGGCAGAGAAGATGTAGACAGTGATTAGCGCTGCTGACATGACCGCCCGGCGCCCAGGGGTCAGGACCAGGTGACGGTTCAGATCAAAGGTCAAGTGACGGGTCACTGATCAGGTCACGGGTTAGGCTACAGGTTAGGTCACGGTTCAAGTCACAGGTAAAGTCGAGGGTCAGTTAACACTTAACTCCAATGAGCAGGAAAAGAGATGGCGGTTTCCAAGTTTGATAGCCACAGAAAGTAAATTTATAGAATTTGGGAGACAGATTCTCAATACATTGTCTTCATCGGCTTAAAATGTAGGCACTTCAGGTGGGAAAAGGTAGGCACTTCAATGTAGGCACTTCAGGTGGGAAAAGGTGACCACTCAGCTCGGAAAGACACCGGTAACCGACTTCCCAGAGGATCTCAGCGCGAAGAGTAACTTAAGTCTGGTCAAAGTAGACACCAGACTTGTGTCAAAGATCAGCAATGCACGACTGAAGTTGGGACACAAGTGCGCTTCAACAGCTGATCAACAGGCCAAGTGTATGCACTATGCATGCCAGTCGGCAGTCGCTATACAGCTTCACGCCGTCCGTCTCTTAGATCAGGTCGGCTTTCAGGCCAAGGTTCAGGTTAACTTCTCAGTCCAACAGACTTTTTTGGTCGACAGATCAGTGGAACGTCTTTTGAATAAACCTTGAACCTTGAATCTTGAATTTAGATAAATTTCTCAGAAGAGCTCGGCACCTATCTGGTTAGGTCAGGTCAAGTCAGAGTGTTCCTTGAGAGCCACTGACTTGAGCGCCTGACGCCCCGATTCGTGACAAGAGCCACACTAGTTGGTCATGGCCCGTCTAAATTCCTTGGCGCACTAGCGGCGCCTATCGGCTGAAATGGCAACTAGCCCATCCAGGTGGTCGATATACCAGTGCACGCCGTTTTAGCTTGAGCAAGTCCGATATTATCTGAGCACTTTTATGCGGAGAAATATGTAAAACATAAGGTAGAAATACTAGCTTATGATGAGCGCCAGGCCAAAGAAGTTGATGCCTTTGAGAGTAATAATAGAATTGACCGACACTTCATTTCAGTAGGAGCCCGTATGCGTTGGTGTCAGTTACGATTTCTAATGCTATAGACAAATAGGTACACGAGAACACCTTAACCCTCGCCCGTATAGGGGGGGGGGGGGGTCGAACGGACCCCCCTCGGTTTTTAGCGAATAACTCGCGTAAAAAGCGGCCGATCGCAGCGAAACTTTCGGTACCCTCGAGTTGATCAATTTTACACCTACTCTGAAAATTTCATGACCCTGACCCTAATGACCTTTGACCTGTGACCTACTTTTCGAGACCATGTTTGGCCGGAATCGCGATTTGGCGTATGTCGGCTCGCATTAGCCGCGCTTTTGCAGTCTTTTCGTGGTTTCAAGCGTTCAAACATGTGATATGATGTTGCCCCCATGCATTTGGGTGGGTGTCAAGATCATCTGAACGTCAGGTCAGGTCATTGACCTTTGATGACCTCGGTTCACTTTTTTGAGTTTTACATGTTCATAGCGTACAACATCAGTCATTTTTTGTCCTACGCAGTTTTGAGACACGTACTTTAGTCCGCGAATCACATTGGACAGATATGGGCGACTAGCGAAACGAGGAGCCATCAGCATTAGCATCTGACGGCGGGTAAACGAAACTGAGCTTCAGATGGCGGCTCAGTCGCGAAGCCGGCGTAGGATGTGCTATGCATAGGCGGCGGAAGGAGGGGGGCACCGGGGCACCGTGCCCCCTTTTGATTTTGACATTTTAACATTAGCTCTATGGGCGTTGCATGGAAAGAATGGGACCAAAAGTCCGCAGTGTCCCATCCCCCTTAATTGAAGGTGTTCTGCCGCTACTGGTGCTATGGTCGATACATTTGCTGCAGATCACAATCTGAGGTACAGGGAGCTGAAGCCTGTATGTGTATGCATAAGGTCACATAACCTTCATTTTCTTGTACGTTGTTCAATTCATTCAGTTATATGACAGTGCCATTTGGTTCGAAGCCATCTCATTCGATTTCTGTTGACAGCATTGGCCAACCATCACATAGTTAGAAGAAACGCCCAGCCTTCAACGCTGGAACTGTGTTCACGGCACACACCTTTGTATGCCCATGTAAGCCCCAACCCACTGTGTAAGTCCTGTGCCGCACACTATGTGTAAACATGTGTAAATTCGCCCCCGGTGCGGCCCCCACGAAAATGTAGAAGTGCATGTAACAGAAGCAATACGGGTCCTCCGAGAACAAACGGGGATGGGTGCAGAAGCGAGGTTCAGGTGTGAATAAAGTTTTGGCGAGATACTTTTTCTCACTATATGCTCCATAGCTATGTTGCACTAATTACCATACCTACGCTAGCAAGTGACAAATCTGCAAAGTAGTAGATAAATTTGGCCATCCTCTCTCGCAGTTAAAGCACCTACCTACCTACCTACTTACCAAACGTTAAAGCCATTTGGTTGAGGTAGGGAAGTTGCGATGTCATAACGTTCAAATTGCATTACATACACATGAGATAGCAAGATCATCAGTCATCAAAGAGATTCTCCCGTCTCTGGTGACAGATCAGTTACAGATGTCAGATGACACACGTCCAGCACCCAGCAGCCTTCATGGAATCAGGAAGCAGTGAAAGGACAGAAGCAGAAAACCCCCTTCTCCCGTGCACGGCTCATACAGTGACGACTGACGAAACTCCCAGACGCAGATGAACAGAGAAGTTGATGGCATATCGATGACGTAAGAAGCTTTTCAGAGTGTTGTGCACACCATGCACACGCCTTGACAGTTGTGAGCTCGAAGGCTCGATTTCTCCGCGAATTTCCATGCAGCGCGCGCGTCTATGCAAACAGCGTCTCCACCGTACGGGGACAAGGCTGTGCAAATAGGTTTCAACACATGGCTACGGTGCCCTGTCCTTTCGTCATGGCGCAATGCTAGCAGAGGATGGATGGCATGGATGGTGCGGGGGTGGATGTAACCTGGGTCAATAGGTACTTGGGTATGTTTGAATGAAACTTTCGAATCATGATCGTCGAAAATAAGTTGGGTTCGTTTCAGCTAGATTCGTCAGTTCAGTTCGTGTCGGTTCAGTAGTGAGTTATTCAGAAAAATGTGAGATTGAAAGTATTCAACAGACGAAATATTCGGCAGTTGATGGCATTCACATTCAGTTATGACGAACAAAGCATGTAGCACTCAAAATTCACAATGCTTTATCTTATGTATTATCCAATGATGCTTTTATAAATTAAAATAAGATTCAGCAAAGACTAGCTTTTCAGTTCAGCAAGTTTCGGCGTGTTATTACCCAATTCGTTCGCAACATGTTACAGAACATGGTCGCAATACCTCTGTCAAGTTTCGTAGATCGCTCCTATTGTGATCGACCCGTCCCACAGATGGTCGGAAGTTGGGTACCCCCGGGTACCCCGTGGTTCGACCTCACGGCTATAATGGTTGTAACGAACGGCAAGGCACTGGTTGAGGAGGATGGAATGCCACAGCCCACAGCAATATTGCTGCTATTGTATTATGTATTTCATTGCATTACATAACAAATCATTAGCACGTACAAGCATTCTCGTCGAGTGTGGTGGCTACTGGCTTGTGACTGTACAAAACTACAGCTTAACCCGCGCACCGACGGGGGTCTGCGCCAACTTAGTACCGACGGGGGGGGGGGGCGGATGACCGCCCCCCCCTGAGATCTCGAGAACGAAGCAAGATAGCGACAAGCGGTAAACGGCATCGGATACGCACGGTCAAGATCTACAATTTTTACTAAGGTCATTTTCAGGTCAGGTCAAAGATGACGTCACAGGGGTCGAAAAAGTCAAAATGGCGGCGCTAAATATGGAGAGAGTTTTTCTCGAATAACTTTCGAATTAGTCAAGATAGGAACAAACTAAGGGCATCATCGTGATCCTCTCGTCAATCCGCATCGAATGATATATATGTTGACCTCGAAAGGTCAAGGTCAAAGGTTGACCTCAGGTCACGTGACCTCGAGGTCATCATGTATATCATTCGATGCGTCTTGACGAGCTGAACACAATGAGACCATCCACGCGTCTGTATCTTGTTCCTGTACGGAGTTATTGGCCAAAACCCTTTGGTGACCTTTGATGACGTCACATGACCTCACAGCTGCCCAACAGCAAAACAGACCTCAAGGTAGTGAAGGTTGATCGTATATGAAGTCATGTATGGTATATGGGGCCATTCCGACCCGTTTTAGTGGTAAAAACAGGGAGTTGATTTTTCCCCCATTGACTTATAATGGGGAGGTCGCGAAATTGACCTGACCTTAGGTCACCGATATCAAAATTCCGAGATAAACAAATTGTAGCTACTAATGACCTAATAACATCCTGCGACTTTCAAAGGCCTCCGACATCTACTGTAGCTCTGGCACGGTGACAAAGCTGCAAAAAAGTGACTTGAGGTTGGGTCATTCAAAGTGACCTGGTGACCTGACCTTGAAAGGTAGGAGGTTCAAACTTGCACACCATGTGTAAAATTGATAAGGGAATAGTCATACCAAATTTCGCGGCGCTACGCGCCGCGGTTTTCCCGCTATTTGCGAAAAACCTCAGGGGGGGCGGATATCCGCCCCCCCCGTCGGTGCGCGGGTTAAAACCACGTCAGTCGAGCCAATGTGACGTTTATCGCGGCAATGGTGGACTTCTATGTATTACAAAATAAGCAACGAACTGGGACACGAATGTTCTACCCGAGTTTCACTCGATTCATTCATCGCGTGTGATTCCAACGATTATCTGAGCCAGCGCGTCACTAGTCGACACCCGTAAAAAAATGTCCTCTTGCTCGCCTGCGAAGATAAGGACTCCATTGTAAAAGGGCGGTTTCCCAGCCTGATTCGTTCAGTGTCATACCGTGTCGCAACTTACTTTTTTTTTGCGCGTTGAGCACTGAGCATCGTACCTCGATATGAACGATTGAGTCGTAAAGCAATCTTGCTGAGCAGTGTGGGATCTATCGGGGCTACGT